CTTATTCTAGAACAAATATTTATAGTGGCTCATAGGATATTTCTAATTTATATAGTGTGGAGTCACTCTGCAGTTTGGTGTGCATTGCTAGAGAGGTTTTTTTTTCTTGGAAGAGTGCATACGATCAGCACAGGGCTAATCACCACTGTCCATACAGAGGTCAGGGGTTCTGCATTCTCTGTGTTCTGCATTCTCCCTTTGAGGACCAAGGGACGTATTTGTCCCATGTTTAATTGCCTGTATCATCTGATTAAGAACTTAAAGCTCTCTCTTTTTTTTTGGTTTGAGTCAAAATATTAGTTCTTATCAACAAACAACAAATGGATCTAGCTTTTTGCCAATTATTTCATGAAATGGCTTAGTTACAGCAACTGAAGTGTACGAACTTTAAAAACAAAAAAATTGATTCTTTTAGCGTTCCAAAATCTTAAGGTCCTCAAAGGGTTAAAGTAAAATGAAAACTCCTCCTACAAGCTTTAACCAGTGCTCAGCTGGACACTGATAGAAGTCACAAGACTGCTCCAACTGCTGATGAGAAAAGGTATTTAGGAGTTTATATTTACTAAAATAGTTGCACTTCCGTATTCTGTGCACCGTGTGAGACCAGACGTAGTGAATGCAGGGTCCTCGTTCTAGTAACACTTTAAGGAACATATATACTACATTATGGATTGTAATATGCAATATTACTTCTCTGTCTATTTGGATTTTATGTTTTTCCTTCAATTATACAAAAATGACTGCACCTTCTAGAACCAGGTTCATAGGTTCCTCCACTCCTCCTACCACTCCATCCCCCACAGCTATCTCCTCCTGTACCACTATCCCCTCCCTCCTAGATTGTAAGCTCCAAGGAGCAGGGCCTTCGAACACCTCGTGTATCGAACTGTATTGTTATTGTACTGTCTTGTGTTCTGTCTCCCATTGTAGTGTACAGCACTGAGCAAACCGTTGGCGCTATATAAATACTGTATAATAATAATAGGGCTATGCATTTACAGCTAAAGCAAGTGCCAACACATACAATGTAACCAATCAAAAAATAATAGCATATGCAGCGCTAAAAAAAGGTGACTCATGAATCATACATCTAATAAAATATGAATATAAATGAATCAAATAAGATGAGTGGTGGCTAAAGTGCTTAAAGTGATTAAAGTAACGTCCTCAGATGACGGTTCAATTGTCCCAATAAAAAGGAGCAAAGGTTGTCGACTCCGTGCTCAAAAGGTGGGTAAATATTATGCACTCACCAGAAAGCGCATAATGTGCGCATTTGAGTTGTCAGACCACTCCTGGTACTAGAAGGCTGAAGTAGTGCGGGTCATCTAGCAGGCTGTCACTCTGGTAGGGATGCACCTTCCTCTGACCAGCAGGGGGACACCAGACATCCAGCAATACTTTGCATAAAGCTAATCCAGACTCCTCAGACCAGGACACTCAAACAAGATATCCACCTTGAGAAAGGGGGGGGGGGCTCGATCAAACAGCCCACCCCAAAAAAGCACTGATAGTGTAGTAGGTTCATAAATTTTTTTATTGGAGCATAATGAAAGCAACTCACATAGGGTATCCCAGAAACAAAGATGGCCACCAGCCTCCACGAGGTGCGGGGCGGCGTGACGTCACCGGCTAGGCTCCACCCTGACGCGTTTCGAGCGGACGAGCGCGTTATCAAAGGGCCCCTTTGATTCATTTATATTCATATTTTATTAGATGTATGATTCATGAGTCACCTTTTTTTAGCGCTGCATATGTTATTATTTATAGTGTGAAGGATTGGGGGTTGTACCTTTTATGCCAGCTGCTTACCATTTATCTCCAAGCGCTCGTTAATTATTTTACTGTTCTAATGTAACCAATCAGCTTCTAACCTCAGCTTGTTCAATTAAAGTGGAGTTCCAGTCAGTTTTGTGTTTATTAAAAGTCAGCAGCTACAGAAACTGAAACTGCTGACTTTTAATAAACACACTTACCTGTCCCAGGGTCCAGTGATGTGCCCACCTGCACTGTCCCTTCTCTGCCCCTTTTGTCCCCGGTGCTGGCATCACGACTGTGGGCACCAGGCTGTGACAGCTTGAGGCTTCACAGCCGGGTGCCCACTGCACATTCACGAGTAACGCTGCACACGGTCATTGGGCCTGAAGTCTTCTGGGACCCAGGAGAAGGTTCACAGGAGACTGTGGGAGGAAGGAGGTGGCAGAACTTCCATCTCACTTTGCCACGGCGAACTGAGCCGGAAGTGGGAGCGGGTATCTGTCAAAAACTGGTATCCGCTCCCCCCAAAAGGTGCCAAATATGCCAGCGGAGGGGGGGAGGAGGCAAGTAAGTGGAGCTTCTGCTTTTGAGTGTAATTCTGCTTTAAGCTTTGACGATAAAACCTAGCTAGCAGCTGATTGGCTACTATGGGGAGCTGGACTAGTTTTAGTAAATCTCCCCAATGTGTTTTTAGTTGGGTTATGGGGTGGCGGAGTTGGGGGAAGATTTCCTTCTTGGACTTCAAGAAAACAGAGGAGACCCAATTAACCCATGTCCTTCTCAGCTGATTACAAAACGTTCTCTTTTTTATGGGGTTTTCCTTTAACCATTTGCCACCCGCCCTATGGCCGAATGGCGGCCGGCAAATGTCATCAGTGTTCCGGGTGGACGCCACATGGCGTCCTCCCGCACATGCGCAGATTGCGCTCCTGCAGAGCCGCCCGGTGGCGTGATCTGCCACCGGCCGTGTACCTCAGACACGGCCGATGACAGATCTAAGTATCGGCCCCCGTTGCCGGTACCATATGACCTGATGTGACCAATCACAGCAGGTCACTTGACAGTTGTATACAATGGATGGCTTCATTCATGCCATCCATTGTATACTAGTGTCTAGCTGTGAATGGCCACAGCTAATCACATGCACATGTCATGTGATTAGCTGTGGCCAAATCACAGCTAAGCACAAAAAAAAAACCTGAATGAATCGATGTCATTCAGGTAAATGCTTGCTTATAGCAAAGTAATTCTTTGCTATAAGCAAATTGTGTAAAAAAAAAAATACTGATCACTTCCCCAAAGTAGTACAATGTTACTATGGTACCATTGTACTACTTTGGTCATAGTGAAATATGAAAAAAAAAATCTTAAAAAAAAGAAAAAAAAATGTAATAAAAAATAAAAAAAATAAAAAAAAAAAATATATTTTTTTTTTTCATACTGTCACCAGTCAGTGTCCCTGATCACCACCATGCCAGTTATATGATGACGCTGTACTGCACTGGTGACAGTATGTAAAAAAAAAAATAGTGAAACAAATTTTTTTAATTTTTTCATTTTCCGAAAAATTATGACAAAAAAATACAACTTCAAAAAACTCGCCATGCCTCTTATGAAGTACGTTGGACGGTCTACTCTGCAAAAAGGGGTCATTTGGGGATATCTGTACTATTCTGACATTTGGGGGATATCTGTACTGTCCTGACATTTGGGGGATATCTGTACTGTTCTGACATTCTTCGACCTCAAGAAATTAGATTGGCTGTCAGTACTTCAGGATTGATCAATATTCAGATCTATACCATAGTTTGTGAACTCTATAACTTTCCTACAAACTAAATAATACATCCTAATTTGGGTTATTTTCACCAAAGACATGTAGCAGAATACATCTCGGCCTAAATTTATGAAGAACAATTATTTATTTTGCAAACTTTTATAACAGAAACAAAGAAAAACGTGTGTTTTTTTTTTTTCGAAATTTTCGATCTTTTTTTGTTAATTTAGCAAAAAATAAAAACCCCAGCAGTGACTAAATATCACCAAACGAAAGCTCTAGTTGTGTGAAGAAAATGATAAAATTTTAGTTTGGGTACAATGTTGTATGACCGCGCAATTGTCATTCAAAGTGTGAGAGCGCTGAAACCTGAAAACTGGCCTGGGCAGGAAGGGGGTAAAATTGCCCGGTATTGAATTGGTTAAAAACAAATTAAAAACAACATTTCTTTTTCTTGAAGAACATGAAATTGTCTAGTGAACACCATGTTGTAAAACAAGATACTGAACATTTTTATAAAAGGCTAAATTACGGATTTATAATAACTAGGCTGTAGCACATCAACTGTAAATTTGCTTGCTTTCATTCCATAACATTAACTAGAAAATAAAGGTCAGAATATAAATCATTGCTATGGGCATTTTTTTTTGTCTTTTGCTTTTTATTAGAATTAGCCCTAATGATAAAATGTTAAAAATACTGTGCATGTCTTTGGTTACAATCATTCTACCAAAAGTAGTTTTTCTAGATAGAAATATAGTTTTGTAAAGGTGAGAAGTAAACTCAGAACATTTTCGTTTTTGATGGATGCTAGAAATGTTGTCAGTTTTTACTTTAGTTCACTCTGTTATTGAAGGTTTCCAACAGAAGGATCTCATTGCTTTAGTTTCTAGCTCTGATTCATTCAGTGGGGAGTTTCACTCCTTTTTGCATCCTCAAAGATAAAATAGGCATGGTAATGCCCCATTGTGAGCTACAACAAAAGCTAGTAACTAGCAATTTTACCAGTTTACCGGTTCACTTGGCAGATTCATATGTTGACAAATCATGGTCTGTCGTGTACATTTATTTGCTATGAGTTTTCAGATCTGGGTCAAGTCCCATTTGGATTTGGTTGAACTGAAATTGTATGATTAAGTACAGTATGTTATGTTCATTTTTTTTTTTCACTGTCCAGTTATTGATGATATCATTCTTTCAAAGGCATTGGCCTCATGTAGGGATAAGAGTTGGAACCCATGTTTGATACCCAATTTGATATTAGTCAAATTACCTAAATAAATGGGGTGTTCAATTGAGTTGGCTGTAGCAAGAACTAAAACATTCAGCAGCAGTAATACTAATTCTGCTAAATGTGACAGCTTTCCGCTTAGGCTGGTTAGCGACCAGTGATGTATCCAGGGACGGACTGACAACCCATGGGGCCCTTGGGCAAAGTGGACCTTGCAGTAAAATAAAAGGTCTGCTCAAATTGCCTGGGTCCAGGGGCGGACTGACCATTTGGAAACTCGTGCACTGCCCGAGGGCCCGGGGTCAGTAGGGGGCTCCATGAGATACCCCTGGTACCTTTTTCATAGGCTTTTTTGAGTTTGGGCAAGGACACAAGGGCCCCATGATCCCCTATTGCCCGGGGGCCCCATGAGTTGTCAGTCCGCCTCTGGCGTTGTGCCAAGTTCTTTGCCACATCACCATGGGTAATTAGGTAGCTTCTCTTGCGTTCTGTCAGTACATCAATACCACCTGGATAAGGTTTTATAGTTCCTCTCTTGTATCTGAACTGAGAGACTTGATTTATTTGTTAAAAAAGAAAAAAAAGACTTTTCTCAATCTTGTAATGAAAGTGGGTGGCCTAAATCTTGCTCCCAGTCCCTGATATACAATAGATGGATATACAACGAGGAAAAGCATGCTGAAGAAGTATGTCATAAATAGTAGAGACCAGGGGCGGACTGACAACTCATGGGGCCCCCGGGCAATAGGGGATCATGGGGCCCCTGTGTCCTTGGCCAAACTCAAAAAAGCCTATGAAAAAGGTACCAAGGGCATCTCATGGGGAGCTCTACTGACCCCGGGCCCTTGGGCAGTGCCCAAGTTTCCAAATGGTCAGTCCGCCCCTGGATGTATCCTATCCCGGCCCATTCAGCTGTCAGCTGGGGATTGCAGTTGAATGTAAAGAAAGGGGTTGGATCCCCTCTAAAACCCATGCCAGATCCTTCAGTGGACCCTACACAAAAACAAACAACAAAAAAGGTGTGCCCCCAGAAAAAACGCCATACCCTATTCCTTCACCAAAAATGTAACTAATAAATAATAACACCACACACTTTGACAAAATTATTTAATACTTGCTGACCACCAGTAGTGTATTTTCATACCTGCTCATGTGCTCTGGAGTACCCCCTGTAGCGCGCAGTGGTGAGATCCTGTTACCGGGCACAGTGAATCACAATGATCTGTATCCAGTCACTTGATAACATGTATTAAACCTGTCATAAATGGCAGTCATTCGTGACAACTTGATTACTATTGTGATCGATCACAAAATACAAGGCCATTCATAGCGACCTTGTACCATGTGATTAGCTGTGGCCAATCACAGCATCACAATAGTAAGGAAGCTGTCATGAATGAAAGCCATTCATAACAATTAAAACAATTGCTTATAATAGTGATGATCACAGGTTCACAGTGTAAAAAAGAAACATCCCTGATCACCTCCCGCCATAGTAGTACAGTGTCATTATGGTGACTGAACAACTGTGATGACAGTGTGTAAAAAAAAAAAAAAAATGAAACAAAAAAGTTAAAAAGTTGAATAAAAATGTATTTATTTCATACTGTCACTAGCCAGTATCACCACCACACCAGTCATATGATGACGCTGTTGTGCACTGGTGACAGTATGTAAAAAAAATGGCCTAAATTTATAAAAAAAAAGTTATGCAAAATGTAATACCTAAAACAAAGAAAAATGTTTTTTTTTTTTATTTTTCGCTATTTATTCATTTATACTGTATAATAAAAAAATTAAGAATCCAGCGGTGATCAAATGCCACCAGAAGAACGCTCTATTTGTGTGAAAAAAATGTATATACATATAATTTTGCGGATGCCTCTATAATAACCAGATAAGGTATTGCAAAGATGATTGTTTAAGGCAAGAGTAGGTGGTGAAAATATGTAGAATCACAGTAGACATGTCCATATTGTATGGATACAGAGTCAGTAATGGAAGAATCACCGTTGATTTCCTAAATGTAATTGAGATGGCAGGGCCCTGCTTCAATGCAAATGCAGGCAGGGCGCAGGACAAAGCACTCGGGACAAGATGTATGTGAAATGGGTTGATACAGTAATGTTTTACTATGTTATTTTAGTGAATGTCACTTTTTTTTCATTTTCAAATTTCCCGCCGTTCCGTCCCCCGTACGTCCCGACGCTCGCAGGGGACGGAACCCAGATGACAGATGCCGGCATCCGCCGGATTACATTGCCGGGGACACTGCAGGAGGGACATCGCGGGAGCGCAGGACAAGGTAAGTGATCGAGGAATCGCGGAGCAGCGCCGCATGGTAAGCCCCAGTGTAGCTCGGGGTTACCGCTACACTCGGGAATACCGTCAGGGAGGTTAAACAATCATCTATGCAATACCTGGTTATTATAGAGGCATCCGCATCCCAATATGTGTTTACAATTTTTCACCCACATTGCCTGCAAGGTTTATATGTAATAATGTTATTGCCATTTGGTACCCGTTATCAGCCATAATTGCCTAGTATGTTATACCAATATGGTACACATTTTTTGATACACCCCCTTCCTGGTGGTGTAACCAATGTGTTGGTGCTGCAAATGTATTAGACAGGTATTTGTCACTATATATGCAGCACATTACTACTAAGACCGGTCTTGATGTTGCTTTTATGTGATTTTAGGTCTGTCCTTGTATTATCTCATACTGAAGTGATGGTGAATCAGGGTATTTACCCTAATTGTCCACATTTATATTGTGTAATAAAGCATAATTTTTGGAACTACTTTGATTATCTCATTCTGTCCATAATGTAACCACTGTACATATACACCACTGCACAGGCAAGCTCAGGGAATCTCCAAAGCATGTTATTCAAAAGGAAATTCATTTTAACCACTTGCCCTCCTGAGGATTTACCCCCCTTAATGACCAGGCCTCTTTTTGCTACTCAGCGCTGTGTTCTAATTCAACTGATTGCGCGGTCATGCAATGCTGCACCCAAACGAAATTTCCGTCCTTTTTTTCACACAAATAGAGCTTTCTTTCGGTGGAATTTGATCACCTGTGCACTTTTTATTTTTCATGCTATAAACAAAAAAAGGCCAAAAATTTTGAAGAAAAAAAACAATATTTTTTTACTTTCAGCTATAAAAAATATATAGTAAACTCAAAGTTGGTTATATAATTTAGGCCAAAATGTATTCTGCTCCATGTTTTTGGTAAAAAAAATCCCAATAAGTGTATATTGATTTCTTTGTGTGGAAGTTATAGTGTCTACAAACTATGGTATAGATACTGCAATTTACGCCATTTTTCTGCTATACAGCGCTGTGCTAGTTTAACGGACAATTGCGCGGGTCATGCAATACGGTACATAAATGAAATTTACATCCTTTTTTTTCCCCACAAATTGAGCTTTCTTTTGGTGGTATTTGATCGCCTGTGTGGTTTTTATTTTTGTGCTATAAAAAAAAAGGCTGACAATTTTGAGGAAAAAAAAAACAATATTTTGGACTTTTTGCTATAAAACATGTCCAGTAAAAAAAAATGTAAAAATCAAATTTAGTCATAAATTTCTGCCAAAATGCATTCTGCGACATGTCTTTGCTAAAAAAAAAAACCAATACGTGTAAATTAATTGGTTTACGTGAAAGTTATAGCATTTACAAATGGCGGGAGAGATACTAGGATTTTTAGTTTTTTTTTTATACTAAGAATGGCGGCAATCAGTGACTTATGGTGGCGATCAGCGACTTATAGCGGGACTGCGGCGGACATTCTGACATTGTGGGGGTACTGACTTGGGGTCACTGACATCCCCAGTGACACCAATACAGTGATCAGTGCAAAAAAAAAAAACAAAACACTGACACTGTACTAATGGCACTGGGGAGGAAGGGGTTAAGTTTATTTTTCAGGGAAAGGGTTAACTGTGTGAGGGGAGTGTTTTACTAGGGGGTGGGGTGTGTACTGCAGGGAACACCGCTGATCGGGAGAGAGAAACTCTTCTGTCCCGATCAGCGTGTCCTGGAGCTGTCAGGGAACTGACAGAAAGCACAGCTACTGCAGCTGTGCTGTCTGTCAGCGATTGCCACCGATCGCCGGGACATAGCCGGTAACGACCGGATGTGACCCGGCGACTGACATCCGTGGCCGTGATCAGCGGGACAGGTAGGGCGGCAGCGCGCCTCGTGCGCGCTCCCTACCTGTTTACAAAACACACGTTTTTAAACCGTGCTTTTGCCCAGCCATGCCGCCCTGCTGCCGTATTTATACAGTGGCTGGGCGGCATGTGGTTAAGCATTCATAAAATTGCAGCTCCCTTCCAAATAGAATTATAAAAAGATTTTTTTTGGGGACATGTCCCCCAGAGCACATCTGAGCTCCCATGCCCTTTGTTTGACAATACTTTCCCTAAAAAATTGCCATTACTCATTTTTTAGAACTGAGCTCCCATTTCAGTGGGGTTTGGATTTGACATCTGAACTTCAGTTACAATCTGCAAAACTACCCCACGCTAAACCCAGGTATATCACTAGTCACTCTGGGGACCAGTGCACAAGCAGAACAGATCAGACAGTGGATGAGGAGTCTGTTGAGATCAGTTCTGCAAGGTACTTTACATCAGCAGAAACCACAAGATAAATGCCTTGGCACTGGTTCTGAATTGTATGACCAATCACTAGGCCACTACAAGAATAATTCTATTGCACCAAAAGTTAAACCAAAGGCACATTTTTAGTCGCTGATAACTTACTACTATGAACGTGTAAGTATGTAGCAATTGCCAATTAAAGTAGCACGGTGCTGAATAGCAAAAAAAATGCCTTGCTCATGAAGGGGTTAAAACCTTCCAGAGGTCAAGTGGTTAAAAAAAAAATAAGTCCAACATTGTAAGTCGATTGTCATCTACATTGTCCAGCACTGCAGATCTAAAAAAACTAGACAATTATTCTCTTTCACTTTCACTTTAATAAAATAAAAAACAATTGAAATTAGTATGTCCCAAAATCAGAAACATGTTCTTCCCTTTAGTAGTTCCTACTGTCAGGACGTAAATGAATAAAAAAAAAAAATTCTATCATATATTTTATACTCTTTGATGTGAGTCTTGTATCATGGGAGTGGGAAAGGCCATCCATCATTTATAGGGTAAGGATGTTGAGACATTTTACTAAATAAAAGCTAAGAGATCCTTTAGTTCCTCACTATAGTAGAATGATTTTTCCTAACATGTTTGACATTTTAGAAATAGCATTGTTAACAAGAAAGAGTTGTGAAACTTGAAATATGATAGCATTTTCTTGATATTTGCATTTGTATGGTAGAATGGTGTGCATGATAGCAAAAAACCTATGCTTTGGAGATTCAAGACTGCTACTCCTGCTGCCCACTGTTTGCTGATGGCTTAATGGATGAAGCACATTTACTGTTCTAATAGATTACATATTTGCTATGGGAGTAT